GGTAAGTTTGGCGTATTTCGAAGGCAACGCCATGATCAGCGTCGCAACGTTAAGTTAGGTTCGGTTAGGTTAGGTTGGGTTGGGTTAGGTTATGTTAGGTTAGGTTAGGTAAGGTTAGGTTATGTTAGGTTAGGTTAGACCGTGTATATTGAACGGTATCCACTTTCCGGCCACGGCGCCAAGACGTGTTTAGTCCCTCTGATCGGCGCCGACTATCTAGTATCGTGCCCACCGTAATACAACGGGTTTGATGCCATTTTTGGCGTCACTACGCTCGGCGTCGGTTTTCTAATTTAGTCCTCGCTATCGTCAGGTCACATCTGATGAACATTTAGCGTTATTTGAAATCGTCGCGATGGTTGGCGTCGAGACGCCGAGCGTCTATTTCACAAATTCGCTCTCAATGTTATCCCAACTGTTTGAGACGGACACGTGTGATACAATGATGGCTTCGCGGATAATAGCGTCGGGACGCTCGGCGTCGGTTTCTAGTTCAATATCTACGGTACGTTTGGCGTATTTCGAAGGCAACGCTATGATCAGCTTCGCAACGTTAAGTCAGGTTCGGTTAGGTTAGGTTGGGTTGGATTGGGTTGGATTGGGTTAGGTTAGGTTATTTTAAGTTAAGTTAGATTAAGTTAGGTAAGGTTAGACTGTGTATATTGAACGGTATCCACTTTCCGCCCAAGGCGCCACGACGTGTTTAGTTCCTCTGATCGGCGCCGACTATCTAGTATCGTGCCCACCGTAATACAACGGGTTTGATGCCATTTTTGGCGTCACTACGCTCGGCGTCGGTTTTCTAATTTAGTCCTCGCTATCGTCAGGTCACATCTGATGAACATTTAGCGTTATTTGAAATCGTCGCGATGGTTGGCGTCGAGACGCCGAGCGTCTATTTCACAAATTCGCTCTCAATGTTATCCCAACTGTTTGAGACGGACACGTGTGATACAATGATGGCTTCGCGGATAATAGCGTCGGGACGCTCGGCGTCGGTTTCTAGTTCAATATCTACGGTACGTTTGGCGTATTTCGAAGGCAACGCTATGATCAGCTTCGCAACGTTAAGTCAGGTTCGGTTAGGTTAGGTTGGGTTGGATTGGGTTGGATTGGGTTAGGTTAGGTTATTTTAAGTTAAGTTAGATTAAGTTAGGTAAGGTTAGACTGTGTATATTGAACGGTATCCACTTTCCGCCCAAGGCGCCACGACGT